AGCTGGTCCTCATCGAAACCACCTCCACCTTTGTCTTCAGATCCGTCTGGACTTTTGCAGTTTTGATGCTGATACACAAAAAAAGAGGAAACAGTTCAGATCTGACGTGACAACAACTATCTCCTGAATCAGTTCACCTTCCTGTGTGATAAAAGCCAATCTGTTTAATTTCATGCAAGTCAAAAATAAAATGAAATATTTAGATTTTATGGTGAATACTTTGTATAGATAGCTGATTTCAAGAGTGACTGAACACTTTATGTTGTTCAAAAACAAAAAGAAACTTATCCAGCCAACAGAATTCTGTGCTGTGTGTTTTCTCTACACATTCCAAACATGCTTACATTTGAAAYGTGGTTCAATTTGAAATTAAATTGAGTCTTTCCAAAATGTTTCACAATTTTTTCTAYAATTCAACAGTTTTAAGTACATCTGACATTTCCTACCAACCAGTTTTTGTCATAGTGTTACGATTGAACAGTGGTTTACCTCTGCCAGTCCTGGCATGGGGCTACTGGTGTCACTCGGGTCGTTTACTCGAAACTCCTCCATATTTGAATCCGCYTTAAGAAAGGAAACATAATAAACACAAAAGCCTACAGAGCAATACAATGAAACTTAACATTCTTACACCAGAAAGGACAAAAAAAAAACCCTCTCGCGGGAGCGTGCATCACTCTAAAGTCTCGCATATTTACGAGAAAACAGACTGAAATATGACCGAAGAGGAAATTTTAAAGATATTTGTAACATTATCACGTTTCTTAACCATGTAATCCCTAAAATGGTGGGCTTTCTTTCGCAAATTACTTGAAATAAATACAGTTTTTACACCTTTATTGAAACATAAGAGTCGGAACATTTTTTCAGTCCGTGTCTGTTGAAAACATTCTCCGCAAATGGTTTGAAATTTTCTGATTTTTCTTTTGATACCATAATAGGTTTAAAGCATTACAAAACAGAGGCCCACTATGTAGAACATTTTACGTCATGCTTAACTTTCTAGTCTGTTAATGTGGGAGGGAATACATTTTAATTTATGAGCCTGAAAATATTTGCATCCATCCTGTAATAATATAAAAGTTATAGCATTAGCTCAGAGAACAAGTGTCATTACGTAGAAAAGGTGAAATCCTTTCAGCTCTTTATTTCTCCAAGTTAGCGCAGGGATGCATTTTTGGGCAATTTGCTCTTCCAGCCTGCCAAAATATGCATCCCCTCTTTATTTCCCTCAAATATTATCCTATTGATATAAAACTTATATCAGCAGATCATGGAACTACTCTGGTTATGTAGAAAAAGTTATTTCACTCTTAACTCTTTATTTTGCAAAATTAGCACAGGGATGCATTTTTGGGCAATATGCATTTCCAGCCTGCCAAATTATGCATCCCCTCTCTATTCTCCTCAAATATTATCCTATTGATATAAAACTTATACCAATAATTCTTAGAACTACTCTGATTATGTAGAGAAAGTTATTTCACTCTTAACTCTTTCATTCTCCAAGTTAGCACAATGATGCATTTTTGGGCAATATGCATTTCCAGCCTGCCAAAATATGCATCCCCTCTTTATTTTCCCCAAATATTAGCCTATTGATATAAAACTCATACCAGTAGTTTACAGAACTACTCTGATTATGTAGAAAAAGTTATTTTACTCTTAACTCTTTATTTCTCAAAATTAGCACAGGGATGCATTTTTGGGCAATATGCATTTCCAGCCTGCCACGATATGAATCCCCTCTTTATTTTCCCCAAATTTTAGCCTATTGATATAAAACTTATACCAGTAGTTCTTAGAACTACTCTGGTTATGTAGAAAAAGGCATTTCACTCTTCACTCTATTTCTCCAAGTTAGCACAAGGATGCATTTTTGGGCAATATGCATTTCCAGCCTGCCCAAATATGCATCCCCCCTCTATTCTCCTCAAATATTATCCTATTGACATAAAACTTATACTACTGGCCAATAACTGGTACTGTCGTCTTTAACACCACCATTGATTATTGCATCTTAGTGTTGAACAGAGAGATAAAAAAAATAAATAATTGGTTTTAAATAATTGATTGCTTTATTTTATTCATGGAGGATCATGCTGAGGTGCAGCATCTGACCCCTCTGAGCCACTAACTGTAATTACCAGAGTTTTGTCCTTTGGAAAAATGAAGTGTGCGAGTTTTGCAGATATTTGCAACTATTTTCATTAACAACAGAGTTGACAAAAGGTGCAAAACGAAGCGAAGGACTTACAAAATTCAGATACGCTTTCAAATCCAGTCTGACAAATTGTAAAGAAATAATGTTTTGCCATGTTTCAGAAATTGTCTGAGTTCATCTTCAAGCACAGATTTTTAAAACGCAGCTTTTTTTGGTTTTTACATGACGTACTTGGTTTATAAATAAATAAAGCACTGCAGTGTTTTATTGTTCTGTTTCCTGATGGCACCCATCTTCCAGTGTCATCCAGGAACAAATAAAGTTTAAAGCCTGAAGAAATGTCAACTGTTACTGCTTTGTAATAGTTTGAGCAGAAGGTGCTTTACTCATCCATCCATCCATCCATCGCCTGGTCTCGGGGCCAGCACCTCTTCTGGGAGGACACCAGATGTTCTCAAACTTGTCAAGAGACTTTCAGAGAGTAGAGCCGCTGCTCCTCCACATCCAGAAGAGCCAGTTAAGGTGGTTCATCTGGTGAGGAAGCCTTCCAGACGCCTCCTTTGGGAGGTGCTTCAGGGATGTCCAATGGGACAAGCTGCCCCCCACCCACCCTACTCTGTATAAAGCTGAAGATAATGGATGGATGGATAAAAATATGGACTCATAATTGTAATCTAAAAAGACATGGCAGCAT